AAAAAAAAAAAAAAAAAAGAAAGAAAGAAGGTTTGAAGGCTTTCATGCTTTATCAGAATACTAATTTGAAAGTAGTACTGCTTAAAGCCAAGAATGATGGTCTCAAACAGTGATAGTGCTGATGTTCTGACTAGATTACATTATTACTTTCTGTTACAGAAGAGAAATTTGGTTCAGTAGTACACCACATTTTGTGTTTCTTAGCTTGAGGGGAAAATGTATATTCTGTAAAACAGTCAGATTTATAAGCATTTTCTCTGTAGAAATTAGCAAATAAAACCAAACATTTAATTCTAAGCTTCTCATTTCCTATCATTCTGGCAACTTCCTTTGGTTCCTTAACTCCACAATTCTTTGACTCCACAATCCACCAATGTTATCACCTTCTCACTGTTCTCACCCACCTTATATTTACAACTCCTTTCTTATGTATCATCATAATCACCACATAGTATACACCATCATCTCCCTGGCTATCCTGAGTCACTGTACTTATTCAATTTAATTTTATTAATCTAGTACACTGTCCTGTCCACTCAACTATCTCACTCACTGTTTATTTTGTGCCATGATTATTGAAGTAGTCTCCTAACTGGGTTCCTTTGCCCTTTCTGCCTTCCTACTCTTAAGGCAGCAATGAATTCTTATGAATTCTTATGAATTCTTGACACATTGTAAAAGGATAACAAAATCCTATCATTCCTTTTGTCAAAACATCCAACGACCTCCCATCGCATTCAAAATAAAAGTCAATGTCTTTACAATGGTCTACAAGACCCTACAAAATTTCACTGTTCATTGTCTTATTGTCTACCACTCTCCCACCTCATTCTGCTGTAGCCACATTGGTCACCTGGTTTCAAGGGCTTTGGACTTATTAGGGCTGGCTTGCTCTCTCATCTCCTCATGTTTTTTGCACATATCACTAGTGATACCTTTTCCCCCTACCTTATTTCAAATTGCTTCATTTTTCCTTGCTTTATTTTTCTCATGACACTCACTATTATGATCTAGTAGATTAATGAACATACTGTCTCTTGCTTCTCACCTCCATTAGTATGTAAGCCCCATGAGAATAAGAATTTTGTGATGTGGTTGATTTTGTACTCCTAGTGCCTATAATGTGACTGGTACAAAAGTAGACCATCACACTTCGCAGCTACTTGGATGGATTTAGAGTCTATCATACTCAGTGATCTATCACAGAAGTAAAGAACAGAGTACCATATGTTCTCACTCATAAGCGGACCTTGAACAATTATCATAATACTATAAGAAAGGGATTGGCAGTAGTGGGAAGCTGCGGGGGTGGGGGTGGGGTGGGAGGTGGAATTGGCATTTGAGGGAAACTGCCAGAAGAGGGAGGGGCACACTTCATAAACAAGGGTATCTGAATAATGAACATTTGTATACCTAACCCTGAACTGTACCCCATCTCTATTTAAAATTAAAAAAAAAATAAACAAAAAAAACCCAAAGTAGATCACTAAATATTATTTATTACATAAATAAAAGAACTAAGTTAAATATACATTTTTTCCTCTGGATTATTTGTTGAATGAATAAATATACATTATTATATAATTCTAAAATGAGATTATAACAAAAATTTTTTGAATAAAAGTAACTGAAAGAAAATATAAACTAGAAGTTATAAACATTGTTTATGCAGAAACACAATGCTTTGTTTTTGGAAATCCAAGTTTAAATTCCATCAATATACATATCCTTTCCTACAATTTTATCAGATTAACAGAACTGGTATCAGCAGTATTTCATTTTCTGATTTTTTAACATTATAATCTATATTATGAGAAAATACATATTATCTAAAGTCAATATAAATGCTGAAATACCTTGAATCACACATCAAAAATTCAGGATTTTAAAACTCTTAAGATGTTTTAAATTTTTAAATTACAGAAAAGGCCAGGTGAGTCGGCCCATGTCTGTAATCCCAGCACTTTGGGAGGCAAAGCACAAGGGCTGCTTGAGGCCAGGAGTTCTAGGCTGTAGTGAGCTATGATCCCAACATTGCACTCCAGCCTCAGTGACAGAGCAAGACTCTATCTCTAGAAAAGTACTTTGGCTTGACTCTAAATACAGACTCAAGTAATTATCCAAAGAAATCTCTATTCTATTACTTATTAATGATGAGTCAAATGTTAAGCCTTTTATATTTTAAATGTATTGGTGTTTAAACGTATTCAAAGGAATATTTTTAAAAGTTGTGTCAAAAATATTTTGGTTTAAAAAGATGAATGAAATAAACCTAGGGAAAGTGAAACAAGAGGGATAAAAGTTATTTAAAAAGACATCTTTTTATAATTATGGCTTTCCATTTTGATACAACAAATTATACACAGCACTACTTAGATTTAAGAGTTTATGCAATAAATACACTGGAAACAAAAAATGTTAATTCAAAAAACACTTACCTACAACACCATTCAATACGACCTTCACCCTCACAAGTTTTTGCCCAGTGATTATCTGCCAAATTTTTCATTGCAACAGCATATTCACAAAGTGTTTCCTCATCCTCACAGTGTTCTCGCCAGATCTTATCAAAATCTCCCACTAAAAACAAGAAAATAAATAAATCAAGTTAACTTTACTTTGAAACATGTCAGGTTCTTGAAAGTTTAAATCTAAAATTATTTAAAGATGAGTATAAGCAAATTCACAAAGTAAAACCATGAAGCTTTAAATTTTAAAAGTTCCTTTGTGTACAGGAATGTATCGTTTAAATTATGATTATTTGATAATCAAATACATTTTATCATTTTAAACATATGGATTTTTGAAGCTGAAAAAGGTGACAAAATATAAGCAGATATAAATGAGTTATCAGTTCAAAAGCTAAAGAAATGGTGGTAGGGGACAACTATGGATGAATAAAACATTTATTTTCCTGTTACCACTGGTCAATGACCTTGCAGAGGCAAAGTAAAAACACTTAAGCCCGTTCTTGCCTGTTACTTTTCAGTTCTACATATGTATAAGTTTCCTATAATTACAAAGGAGTTGGTAGGTGATATGACAATGTAAATTAAGTAAATATTTATATTTTCACACCTGGACGTATTCTAGGCATACCGTACTTTAAACAATTGCAATTCTAAGGTAAAAATGTTGCCTTGAAAGAAATTACTTTGGAAGCCTCTCCAAAGTTGTAAACCTTTATAAAATGTTCTGCATAAAAACTAGAAGCTGCCGGTTGCAGTGGCTCATGTCTATAATCCCAGCACTTTGGGAGGCCAAGGTGAGAGGATTGCCTGAGCCCAGGGGTTTGAGACCAACCTTGGCAACTTGGCAATACCTCGTCTCTATAATAAAAATAAAAAAATTAGCCGGGCATGGTGGCACATGCCTGTAGTTCCAGCTACTTGGAAGATTGAGGTGGAAGGATCACCAGAGCCCAGCAGGTTGAGGCTGTGGTGGCCAGGAGCATGCCGCTGACCTCCAGCTGGGGTGGCAGAACAAACAAACAACAAAAACAAAAACAAACCATAAGTTGACTTCATATCTAGATGGCTACTATCTTTTTTAAAAAAATTAAATCAATCATCACATTTAATATGAAATCTGAAACATCACAACAATAACTGATAAAGAAAGGTAGGAGACTGCTATAGCCAAATAGAGGACATTAACACAATTTTAATGGTAAAAGACTAAACAAAAATTATCAGGGTAGCTTCACTGAATGCCTTTAGACAAAAGAATTAGGTTCTCATGCCTCATACTGAAATGTAGGCAATTATTTGGTGACAGAATAAACTTAAAACTACAAGTAGAGCAGCCAAATTACACTAAAATTCTTCAAGTAATATTACATTTTTAGCATTTAAGAGTTCCTTTTTTTTTTAAGCAGAGAAGGAATTTAAATAGTTCAAATGTACCAATCAGCCCATCTATTCAAATTTGCAAAATGTCCAATTACTCCATTTATTGGTTACTTTAAGGTCACAGTCTAATAAGCATTGAGCTGCATACCAAACTATTATCCCTCTAGGTTGACCAAATCAAGAAAGAAGAGTAAGGGTACAAACACACTCTCATAAACACGGTGTTCAGTTAAGATGACCACATATCAATCTCAGTCTTGGCCTGAACACTAAATTTGAACCTGAAAGAAATGAGAAGACTAATTTTGAGGGGGTTATATATTTATATGACTAATAATTCTATTAATCACTAAAATTTGTGTAATGACTGTGCTCTCAATTTGTTATGTATCAGACTGGGAACATCTATCCACTAAAGATAAGCAGGCAAAACTTTCCTAAATTCTCAAATAAAAATTCCTCAGTTTAGGGCAATCCCTTTGGGTCCCCTCCCACTGTGGGAGCTTTTCTGTCCTCTCAATAAATTCTGCTTTCAAAAAAAAAATTCCTCAGTTTTAGCAACATCTTTCAGATGTAGTTATTTATCAAGTCTCTAAATAGAATTACAGAAAGCAAAGTCTTTGAAACAATATTTTAATTAATATACTTTCATAAACCCATGGTGGTTCAGTGAACTTGTAAGTTTCACTGTCCAGTATAATGCACATATTATATAAATACATGAATATATTATGGTGTGGTTAACAGGAATCATTCAAACAAAAGCTCTATGATAAAATATATCTCAGAAAAGCTATGTTTAACACATACTTTCTTTCTGTAAAACTCTTAGATTCTACAGAGGTATACCTTCAGACAAAGACCTGGGTACAAGTAGTTTATCTGGGAGAGAATCTTAGGAAACAGGAGTGAGGAAGTGGAGAGAAAGACAAGGAAGGAGGAAAAGCTAATATAAGGACACATTATTGAGGTTACTGCTGCGTGCAAACTGAGAAACATAAAGAATGCTTCCAGAATTGTGCACCGAAAGAATGAGAGAATGGAGCATTTATCTACAATTAACTAAGAATTGTTAACAATCTGCATTTCTAGTCTGCACGTAGCCACTGAATAAGGGGACAATCTAGTGGGCTCCAGCAGCAAGGGAGAAAGGCAGAGCACAGAAAAGGCAACAAACTTTTGAAGTGGGACTCTCTCAGGGTTGGTGACTCTGCACTCACAGTGTCTGTCTGCCATGGTTGAGGACATAGAGTATGTTATGTGGGGCACTACTGTCATCTACTACAAATTTTTAGAGTCCTTACCATGTCATTGTACACTTTGAAACTCAATTTACTCTATAATAATTCTACAAGTCATAAGACACTAAGAACTTCAATATACAGAAACCTTCTGCCCTACAGCTTTTTAGAAGACCTCTAGTTTTTCCATACTCAACAATATGATCTTTAAATATTGTCTTAAGAAGTTTGAAGGCTTCCTATCTGCTCCAATGAAGTTTGAGGAAGGATTCAGATTTGGTCTGTAGGCTTTATTCAACTCCCACTAACTGCATATAACTTTGATTTAATGTTTTCATTAATATTAAAGAGTAGTATACTCTCTTAAAATGTGTTGACATTGAAAACTGATGTGTGATACGTAAAATGTAGTACACCTAAATATATAACTGAGAGTAAACAATGCAATTGTATATACTTTTCAATCTTTCAATAGATTTGTTTAAAAAAAATCAAATACTATGGAGAATAATAAAGTTAATGAGCAGGCACTGGCACCAAAGAAAGACAATAAGACACATAAAGAAAATGTAGTAGATGCTGTAAGAGAGATAGGAACCTGGTATGTTCCCTATGTCCCATGCCTGGACCCAAATTCTTTAATTCATGTATTTATTCAACCAAAGTGTATCAAACTCTGACTATGAGGTATAAATGACTGGAGGTTACAAAATTGAACAAAAAACATAGCCGTCCTTCAGTTATGAGGAAATTCTACTTTCTGAAATAGTCTTGAAAGCTTAATATTTTTAAAGATAAATTAAGTTATTAAATAAAACAGAATGGGAAAAATTAAGTTTTTTCATAATAGCCCATTATTTGTTTCTATAATATTTAAATAGGGGTATTTAAATTTTAAGCAAAGTTTTTCAAAAGAATATATAATCTGGGTTCCAAAAGATAAAAAAAGCTAAGGTTGAACAACGCTCAGTATACATATTCAAAGCCCCAGTGCTGACTCAAACTGCATACACAAAGAATATGTTAAAATTTGATTCTGGTCAGGCTAGGTGGCTCAGCCTGCAATCCCAGCACTTTGGGAGGCCGAGGGTTCGAGACCAGCCCAGCCTGGGAAACTTGGAGACACTTCGTCTCTACAATAAATAAAATACTAGCCAGGCATGGTAGCGTGCCTGTAGTTCTGGTTACTTGGAAGGTTGATCGCTTGAGCCCAGCACCTCAAGGCTGCAGTAGCCGTGAGCTCACCACTTCACTCCAACCTGGGCAACAGAGTGAGACTCCAACACTCACACGCACACAAAAATTGATTCTAAGGATTTTTTGTTATCCCTTAGATAAACAAATACATGAAATAATGTCTCATTTAAAAGGACAATACTTTTTCATTATCAAAAGGTAATTCAGAAACTCCTGAAGTTTGCATCAAAGGTCTAGTCAATATAGTACAAGAAATGATTAAGCATTCAAGTTCAATCAGAACACTCAGTAAATTAATAATTATCCTCATGATTTATTTTAATATAATGGCATTTGTGAATGACTCAAAATAATTGTGTTTAATAATATATTTTCAGCCAGGTATGGTGGCTCATGCCTATAATCACAGCATTTTGGAAGGCCGAGGTGAGAGGATTGCCTGAGTTCACAGGTTCAAGACCAATCTGGGCAACTTGGCGAGACCTCATCTCAACAATAAATAAAAAAATTAGCTGGGCATGGTGGTGTGTGCCTGTAGTTCCAGCTACTAGGAAGGCTGAGGCAGAAGGATCACCTGAGTACAGCAGGTCAAGGCTGCGGTGGCCGTGAGTATGCCATTGCACTGCAGTCTGGGTGACAGAGTGAGACACCAACTAAAAAAAATTAATAAATAATCCATTTTCTTACCCATTGCTGACAGGCATCCTAGAAAAAAAATAAATGTGTCTTAAAGTAAAAGGGAGGGAAGAAGAGAAAGAGAGGGAAGAGTGAGAAAGAGAAAAAAGAGAGGTATGAGGAATGGAGGAGATAATCTTCAATAAATATACACATTTCACTTTGCCCGACCACAGAAAACTAAAAAATTACTTTTAGAAAGTATAATTTAAAATATACACCTTACAGCCTGACTTGAAATTAACAGTCAATAAACATTTTATGGTCAAACTAAAATAAATTTAGAGAAAAAAATCAGTCATCATTTGTTCAAACACATAGTTTTAAAATCAACTTAAAGCTCTGCCTAGTCTAAAAGATAACGGTTCACAAATTTTTCACATGTCAGGATCATTAGATGTTTAAAAGCACATTAAAAATATTATTTCTCTCAAGAACTCTATCCTAATTCTTGTTTTTAAAACATATAAAGCACAGAAGATAAATTTAGTTAGTTCAAGCCAGATGTGAATTAAGATAATAATATATTTACTAGCCATTTATACAACCCAAATATATATATACAGGAGCTAATATCCAAAAGATATAAGAAACTCATACAACTCAATAGCAAAAA